GTATCAGCAAAGGTGGCCCCCGCTGGTTCACTCTTGGTTTCTGGGCAGAGTCCCTGCAGGCTGGTCCCTGGGGAATGGGGGAAAGACCTGGGAGTTGCCAGGCAGGTTTGTAGTGATGATAAGGAAGGCTGTAGCTCCCTAAATTTTACACAGTAGCTGCTGTGTCATTCAGTTGTTGCGTAGTTATGTTTGCATGCTTGCACACACATTTGAAAATCAATTGAAGCTATAATACAGATACCTGGTGTTTTTTCCGTGGGAATGATGGCCTCGCTGTTTTTGTTAGATCCGCTGCTTGATTTCTACTTTCTAATGATCTTTCCATATCAGCCCTTACGTTTTCTGCAACAGTAACTTGGAAGCATACATTTGGATAAGTTATTTTGATGGTGGGTGCCAATGTACAAGTATGTCACTAATTAGGTATATTTTAACTTTATTAAGGAAAAGCTATCATTAATCATTTTATCCTTTGTAAATAATTATCATATCACTAACCCAAAGAATCTGATGTCTCTCGGTCATTGCCAACTAAAAACAGAAGTAATGCTTTTCAGTATTGTTTTTCCCATGAATTAAAAAAAAACACCTCTAGAGTATATTTTGTATATTAGAGTTCATCTGTAGAATAAATTATAAATCAGATGTAAAGTCTCTTTCCTGAAAATATTGGGATAGTAAATAAAAATTTGGTTCATAATGATTAAAACATAAGAAGTATTAAACTCTTCGCTTGGAGCCTGCAAATGCTAGGGTCTACTTCAGTTATCTGTGACTTCAAAAGATGACATATTACTTCTTGCTCTGAAAGACTGTGCTTTAGGCAGAAAGAGAGTTGCGTGGGACTCCCACGACCTGAGAAGCAGAAGGAGAAGCAGTGGTTAGTCAGTTTTTCTCATAGGTGGCTGGAGGCACTTGTGAATACTTAGGTCATATTGCATGCATGAGACAAGTCCAGCAGTGTCTCAAAACAGGAGACCGTTTTAGGAGCCTCAGCCTTTTATCTCTGCTTACACCTTCAGAAGGAAAGAAGACAGAAAGGAGGAAAAGATGCATGGGTCCTCATTAGAAAAGCAGATCAGACCTTCTCTCTCTAATGAGCTTGGAAACTCATCCCTTGCCTCTTCATGATCCTTATGATCCTTATTATCCACATGATCTGACTCTCAGGGGCCTGCTAACACGGCTCATTGTGCTTGTGAAATACTGCATGTTCAGTTAGGATGCACCTTAGTGTACAGTAAGGGAAAAACTACACAGTGTTCTTCTGCTTGGAAATTTTGATCAGCAACTGTTGAGCCTCCTATAACAACCTACTTAGCACACGTTTCATCTCCCTCTTTATGCAGATGTTACACTAGAATTGTTTCCAGTGAACTTTAAAAAAATAGGTAGTGGAAAATTCATTGAGTCATAATTACTTTTAGTATTTAGTGTGTGGAAGTCAGTATTGTACTCTTGGTTTCTTGGTGAGTAATAAAATTGAGAATCAATTCAGTCTTTGGGCCTGTGAAATAAGCCCATTTAGAGGAAGCTCATGAATTTTCATCATGAATGAGCAAACACCAGAGGTCAATAGGAAACCAAAATAATAATACACTATCCTTTCTCATGGTCTATATCAAAGAGCCTAGTCAAATGAATTATGAAAAAGGAAATTATACTTTTTAATCACTCTTGCTTTCATTCAGCCGTGAATGGTATTAATTCAGGGTACTTGTAAAAAGCATTTTGATGAGAGAGATCTGAAGCAAGACAAAGTAGGTACATGCTGGCAGTACAAAGGGAGTCAGATCTAATTATTGTAGAATCTTAGAGATAATCTCAGTGTTGCCTAATTACACACAACAAATGTTATGGCCAATTTTCTACATATCAGGCATATAGACTGTGTGTAAGACACCCATGGAATTTCTGTAGGCAGAGATCAATTACCTGGGTGGAAGGTGTCTTTTTAAAATTTTGATCTTTTATGATGCAATTCCACAGGCTCGGGGATTTCCCCTTCCATCCTCTGCATTCCTCCCCCTGCCAAGTATTTTCCATCACATTATTATAACGGTATAGTTCTTCAACATGAGGCAGGGGTGTCTTGTTAAAATACACATCGTAGTGCCCCATCCCTGAAGTCTGTGATTCAGAGTTTCTCCGATGGGTCTGATAACTGGCATTTATAGCCAGAATGCAGGTGATTCTAATGCTACTGGTTGAGGCCAAACTGTGGAAACTACTCCACACCCTCCTCCCCTGTGGGCCACTATTGCAGGGTTGGTTTAAACACTTCTGTGAGATGAGTTGTGAAGGCTGCCCATACCAATGCAGCATCTTTTCTTAGAGTTTACCAACACTGCACTGACAAGGGTTTCCTGGTAATTCTATGTCTGGTTCTAATTCTGCTGTCTGGAATTGCTAGGAATATACCTCATTCATGTGTAACTGCTTACAGAAACATATTTATCCCAAGAACAGAATAGATAGGGATCTGGGATGGAAAATAATATTGTTATGCCCTATGCCAGAGAGTACTTGTCTAATCTATGCTATTGTCAAACTTCCAACAAACATGCATTTGAAAAGATTTATTTATTTTTATTTAAGAGGAGTAGTTACAGAGAGAAAGAGCAAGACCTTCCACTTTCCAAATGGCTGCAGTGACCAGAGCTGTGCCAATCTGAATCCAGGAGCCAGGAGCTTCCTCCAAGCCTTCCTTCCAAAGACGCATCTTCTGCTGCTTCCCCACTTGCGTTAGCAAGGAACTGGCTGAGAACTGGGGCAGCTGAGGTTTGAACTAGTATTCATATGGGATGCCAGCACCACAAGCAGAAGATCAGCTCAATATACCACCAGGCTGCTCCTCCCCACCCACCCCTCCTATTTTTTAGTTGAGGAACACCTAGCATTAAATATACAAACACAATGTGCATATATTGATGAAATTTTATGTATGGACACAGCCATGTAACTATTTTCCGTGCCAAGGCATGGAACTGAAAGATTCCCTGCTGCTTTTTACCCAGCTAGCACTCACATTTCCAAAAGTAGCCACTGTTCTACATTAGAATCATAGATGTGGAAGTCACTCTTTTGTATCTGATGTTTTCACTTAACATGACTTTGAAATTCTACCATGTTGGAAATATCAATAGGAATCTACATCAATAGGAAATTGGAATCAGTAGCCTTAGTCTGGACTCAAACCTCTGGACTCCTAACCAGTCTTAACCAGAGTGTTACCACTAAGCCAACATGTCTGCCCTATTTTCATATTCTTCATGATGTAGGTAGGTCTTATACTTTGAATTTTTATTTTCAAGTGCATAGATAGGGTGCTATTTGAATTGTCAGAGATGGATATTCAGTTTAGTAATTCTCTGTGTTCTAACAAGAAGTTTATGAGTTAAAAATGAAGTGCTTTTTTGCCTCTGTCATACTAAATTTTCATAACTCACATATAGATAAACACTATCTACTTGTCTTTTTATACTTGCAATATATAGTCATAACATTAATACTTGGAAAACTTTGAAAAATGGTGTATTCTTTAAAAGTAATACAGTTCCTAAACAACTAGCATGTTAAGAAAACCAAATGGTTGATGAGGGATTGGTCTTCTTTATGGAATGATTTCAAATGGAAGGAATAATGGAATTAGGAATCAACATTTTGCAACTGTCATGAAGTAATGGGTATAATGCCAGCACTGAGCAGTAAAATTATTTAAGTAAAATATTATGGCAACTTTATAATGGGAGGGAGGTCTGGCTGAGAATACCTACCCCCACTGTCAATCTTACTACATTAGAAGTCGACCATGAAGGGTCTGTAATTTATTCTTCTTCTCTCTCTCTCCTTTTTTTTTTTTTAAAGATTTATTTATTTATTTATCTGAAAGGTAGAATGATAGAAGGAATGGCGATCTGCTGGTATGCTCACTAAGTAATTATCATGACTGGGATCGAGGCAGGCTGAAGTCTGGAGTTTGGAGCTCCATCCGGATGTCCCATGTGTGTGACAGGGATCCCGTGCTTGGGCCTTTATCTGCTGCTTTACAGGGAGCTGGATTGGAAGCAGAACAGCCAGGCCTTGGTTGGCATTCCCATATAGATGCTTTATACTGCAAGCAATGACTTAGTTTGCTGCACCACAATACCAGCACCTCTTTATCCTCAGATAAGACAAAGTAGGTATATTCAGTCTTACCTATGAGACATTCTTCCAAAGAGGATTCTCCCTTGAGTATTCATCCTCTGTGAAGGTTCAATAGCATTAAACCAGAACCTAACCATGCTTTCAGCTCCATCCACCAGAATGCAAGAGAACATAGGAGGTAGAGCTTGCGGGTCTCAACTTTGACTGCACATTGGCAGCAGAAGGGTAGATTTTATAATTTCGATGCCGAGGCTATATCCCAAACCCTTGTAATGAGCATCTTTGGTCTGAATGCCAATATTCTTGAATAGCTTCTCTAGGATAACATGAATGTAAGTCAAGGTTAGAAACCAAGGGACAAGAGCAGCAAGTTAAAGGACTTACCATGAGATGCAGAATATGGGAAATTCAGTAGGACAGATAATTGGTAGTTTACTACACATAGGTAGCATTAGAAAACAAGTGTGTGTGTGTGTGTGTGTGTGTGTGTGTGTGTAATGGCATGCAATGGGGAGCAGAGCAGCAGTGGGCATTTATGATCAGAGAAGCTGAGTTTGATACCCACTGTGTCACCTGAATCTAGCTCACCACTAATTCAAACCCTGGGACCCTCAGTGATGATGAGTAATTGAATTTCTGCTATCCATGTGGGAGACCCATATTAGGTTCTGGGCTCCTCTTAGCTTTAGCTCTAGCACAGTCTCAGCCATTGCAGACATCTGGAGAGTGACCCAGTAAACAGGAGCTCTCTCGTTCAAATACATTATTCGATTTTTTTAAAAAGAGGTCTTCCTCCCCCAGTAAAAGATTTATCTGCTCAGTTATTAATCATGCTTATATTTTATTTGCAGATGATTCTGGACCTCCTCCTTCTACTCTTATCAACCAAAATGAAACATTTGCTGAAATTGTTTTTAAACCTAGTGTGGTACAACAAGCCAGAATTGCCCAGAATGGAGTTCTGGGAGACTTCATCATTCGATATGATGTTAACAGGGAGCAGAGCATTGGGGACATCCAGGTAAGGGGGTTGTGACTGTAATTTCCTACTGGCTACTTGATCTTTTAGTCAGACTCACAACTGTGAAAACTTGAGGGAGGAAGAACTTTTTGGTCTTGCTAAAAAAATTTTTAAACCCAAATATGTTTTCAAAGACACCAGTGGTGTTCTCTAGCTGGAAGCAGAGGGCACCTATTTCCTGCTCCAGTAATCCAGAGAGTAAATGAAATCTGTAATATAATTTTCCGTATGGTGTTTTAGATGAGGTTAGAATTTTAGTTCATCTTCAATTTTAATTAAAAGAGATTGCTCTGTGTCTCATTTCCCTCTGGGTTTTATTACTCCCGAGACAGGGTGTGAATATTAAAATGTTTAGATGTGCACCCAGAATGTAGACAACCTTGGTGCCTCAACTTGTGATGTACCTTCTGAAAAAAAAAAACAGATAGGAAGATAGCAAAGATCAGAACAGGATAGAAAATAAAAAATGAACTAGTTCAATGACATTTTATGGGTAATTATTTCCTTGCAGATATTAAATAAGCAATCAGTTCTCTTGGACCACAGATAATTTTTTTTTGGGTGTGGAAAGTGACCTTGAATTTTCTTTCATTGTGTTGTTAGCCTTCAAAAATTTCATATGTTACCCACTTTAAACATTTGTCTTCCTTAATTGGGCACTACAATTTTTACTTCCTTTTCCCTCTGCTAGGTTCTAAATGGCTATTTTGTGCATTATTTTGCTCCTAAAGACCTTCCTCCTTTACCCAAGAATGTGGTGTTTGTGCTTGACAGCAGTGCCTCCATGGTAGGAGTCAAACTCCGGCAGGTGAGTGAGTGCCAAGTACCCTTTTGTTCCTCTCTCTCTGTTGCCTGGGACAATGATCTGCTTTGTGAGTGAAATTGAGTTCGTGCCAAATATCCGCTTTGTCATCCAGATATTCCTGCCTACAGAAACCATTCCTGAACTAATTCAGTTAAACCATTGACATAAACTTTCATTTTAGCATAGTGATTTTAAGAGACATGCAGTAGCAACACCTGGAAATAAAGGGCAGTGACAGAGTGTATAATGTGAGACAGGAATGCACTGAGTGGGCTTCTCAACAGCATTGATATGGACACAATAATTCTGTTCAATGATGACGTCTTCTGAGGACAAGGGACTAGAATCTTTGCAGCCTTCCTGGTCTATCCCTAAAATAAGAACTTGGGTTCTCAACAATTCAGAACTGTTGCTCTCATAGAATTTAGGATGAATTGTAAAATTATATGCCTGAAAATAACACTGAAAGTACACACAGGCTGTGCTGAAAGTTACGTTATCCCCAAATATTGTTTGCATTTCCTTACAAACTACTAGAAAAATGTTAATATTTGTCCTATTCTGGAATAAGAAATATCAGAAATTTGCATTTGTATTTCCAGTTCACACAGTGGAAAATGGGAGTTAATGGCTGCCAGATAAAGTGAGATTTCTGTATTCATCAAAAACTGAGATCTTTGAGCTTTTCTTTGGAAATAATATTTCTATTTTTTTATCTATTAATACGTATGTGATTTGTTGGGTAAAATAGTATCTCAAAGCTCATAAGAACCCTTTATCCAACCTGTTTCCACCCATAGATCTCACCCACATGTGGTTTAAACAGATTCTAATTGACATACTATTGCAAATATTATTCATCAATCTATTACTTTATAAATTTTTTATTCCATTTATATTGTAAAAAATATATCTTTCCATATATCTTTCATTTATGGCATCTCATTTTCCTCTACCTCAAAATAGAAATGATGTATATTCCAAATTATGATGTGAGGAGTGAAGATATGCCCTCAGCTTTTTTTTCAGAATATAGCCAAATATAATTTCTAATTAACATATGGGGGAGATAACCTCACCCTGTAAAGCAATTCCTTACAGCTCTTCAGAATCACACACCTTTCTTTCTTTCCTTTTTTTTTTTGAGTCACACACATTTTCAATCCAACTTGCCAATTCCTCCGTTTGGATTGCTTCTTTCTTGCCTGTATTTTTGACATTTTATCTAGAATTACTTTTCTTTTTCTGAAAAACACCATTATTGGTATCTTTGTAATTATATATATATTTGGAGGCATTCTCATAGCTCTTGTATGCTTGAAAACTGATTTGCCTGAACTCATTCTCTAGGTGTATTTTTACTGGATACAGAATTTTACCTTGCAGGTATTTTCTTACATAACATTGAACATAGATTCCATTGCCACCTAGCCTCCATTGTTGCTATTGAAAAATCAGTGAAAGTTTTAACTGTTGTTTGACTAAATTGAGTGATTGTTGACTGCTTTTAAGATTTTTGTAGTTATGATGCCTCTGTGTGTTTCCTTTTATTTATTTTTTCTGAGGTTCCTGTTTCTTCAGAAATTTGTGAATTCACAGATAAATCTGCAACCATCATCTGTGGAATTGCTTCCGTCTTCTCTTTATATTGCCTTCTGTCTTTAGCATATTCCAAATTCTGACTTTTCATGATTTATTTTAGATCTGTCTTTCGGTTCATAAAGTCTCTTTAAGATATATCTAGTGTGCTGTGAAACTGATACATAAAATGTTTGTTATTGTATTTTTAGTTCCAGAATTTTACTTTGGTTTTTTTTCAAACTGTCTCTTTTTAGGAGTTTCAGTGATTTTCAGAAGGGTTTAATAATTTTTTTAAAAAACATCCTCCAACACAGTATACAGTTACTTTGAAACTTGCCTGTGATAAGCCAAAGTTTGAAGCTCTGTAGGGGCTGTTTTCACTGAATTCACTTCTTGTGTGATTGGTTACCTTGGAATGAACGAGGGACATTATGTTTTTAAATTTGTTTGTAAAACCATTGTGAGATCTAGGAAGATGGTCTACTCCTCTAGAGAATGTTTTGGCTTGCTCTGTTAAGAACCTGGCAGAATTATGCTCTGGAATTATTTCAGATAATTTTCAGGATTTGAGACTTTTCTAGATGGCAAGAGTCAAAGCCCTTTTAAGACATGGCATTTTTCGGTTTGTTTTACACAAAGTATAAAAAATATGCCAGAGCACCCATCCTTAGTAGACTCTAGATATCAGCTTTTGGTCTCCTAAGCAATGATTCAAGTGATGTTTAACTTTTCAGATGTCTCTTTGATCTTGCAAAAAATTTCTTACATTAAAGTGATCCCAAATGTTGAGCTCATCCCCTCAAATTTTCAACTTTTCCTGGAGCTTTTTTTCCTCACTATTTTGTTCACGCTCTGTATCTTTCAATACTTTTCTAAAACGACATTTTTGTTTACCTCTTTTGATTGTTCACCATGGGAAATTTATTTTCAAATCACATGTAGATTTTTGGATGTTTTCTCCAAAGTTTTATTTTATTTTTCAGTTAATTTTTTTTATAGAATGCCTCAAGATATAATCACTCCAAAATGAAGCATCTTTCACAATGGCTGATTATTTACTGTTGCATTAGATACCACATGACATTTAATAAATTCTCCAAGGCTTTTGCACTCTAATTCTTAAGCATTGTTTTTGACCAAATAATTTTTGTGACTTTGGGATTGGATAATGTTCACAGAAGAATAAGCATAGCTTTTCTTTCTTTCTCTCTCTCTCTCTCTTCCTTCCTTCCTTCCTTCTTTCCTCCTTCCTTCCTTCCTTCCTTCCTTCTTCCCTTCCCTTCCCTTCCCTTCCCTTCCCTTCCCTTCCCTTCCCTTCCCTTCCCTTCCCTTCCCTTCCCTTCCCTTCCCTTCCCTTCCCTTCTCTTCCCTTCGCTTCTTTCTGAGATCACTCTTGGCCATAGAATATTTGCTAATTAGTTCTTCCATTTGATCCGGTGTGACAATTTCCATTTGAGTTTTAACACTTAATGGAATGGGAGCCATATGTTGAAGTTTTTCTGTGTCTCGTTTAAGTCCTGTGTGTCTGTGAATTTAAGATTTTATTTCTTTATTTTCTTTCTCTCTTTTTAAATGATAAGCTTAATAAGGACAAGTTTGTAATTCTTTTGGATAAACATAATTTGATGAAAACATTGATGATTGAAGTTATTGTAGCCAATATGAATTCTTGTTGCCACCAAATATTTTGTATTCTGATATGTTTATCATAAATCATTATTGTGTAAGATGTTATTAAAGATTCTTAAAATTAAATAATTTTATTTATTTGAGAGAGAAATGGGTACACCCAAAAGACATTTGTCTCTCATCTACTGGTTTACCTCTCAAATGCCTGTAAGAGCACGGACTGAATGAATCTGCAGCCAGAAGTCACAACGTTGATCTGGATCCTCCATGTGGGTGGCAGGAACCCAGTTACTGAAGATACTGGCATTGCCTCCCATGTGTTACAGTAACTTCAATATGGAATTCTGAGTTTTGACTGCTAAGTAAAATGTACCTCAATATCCTTTTTTATTTAGAAAGATTTATTTATTTGAAAGGCAGAATTATACAGATAAAGGGAGAAACACACAGAGAGATCTTCTCTCTTTTGGTTCACTTCCCCAATCACCACATGACCAAGATTAGGCAGGCTGAACTCAGGAACTGGAATTTCATCCCAGGTTCACACCTGGAGGGCTCTAAATACTTGGACCAACTTTTGTTGCTACTTCCAGACCACTACAATCAGGGAGCTGGATCAGAAGTGGAACAGCTGAGACATTAAACAAAGTTCGTATGCAATGCTGACATCATAGGTGGTGGCTTTTCCTTTTTCACTGCAATGCAGCTCCTGTTTCCCCAGTAATTATTAAGAAATACAAAACCAAGAAAATGTCTGTCCCAGTGTACTGCATCTTTATTGAAAGACTACTAGTAGCTCAAAGGCAGCTTGATAGACTCACATATTCAGTTGCTGTATCATTTTAGGATTTACCCAAACTTTGTCCATTCCAGCTGGACAGGAGAATGAGCAAGGACTTTCTTGCCAAATAACTCAATAAGATAAACTCTGCCTCCAAATTATACACAAAACAACGACAATAGTAGCCACGTTCTAAATTTCCCTCTAAGCATTACCTGAAATAACTTGGTCAATTTTCAAAAAAAAACTGTAATGTGGAGCATTTTTGACAAGCCAGGTATTAGCCAAGGAAGCACATGAGTTATTTAGTACAAGGATATTTAATCTTTATAACAATTTGGTTATCGTTGTCATTTTACTTATAGCAAAACTGAGGCCTTGCAAAGATAATGTGGCTAGTAAATTACTGGGGTGGGTTTCTATTTCGAATCTGATTTTAAAGCTCATGAAGCAGGCTACACTGTTAAGGTTCCTTTTTGCACATGGGGATGTGCTAAGACAGCACCATTCTGTGTTACTGAAAGCAGTGCAAATGGATTCAGAGTCTGTTCAGTTTTACATTTCAAGATGCATTGAAGAATGCTTGTTGTAGAAGACAGGGATTCCCTGGCATTATGAAAGAGCAATCCAATGATAGTTGTCAGACTATTTGTTATTCTCTCGCCTTTCTTCATTCCTGAATATTAAAATCCCATTCCTTGCTGGTCACAACAGTCTGGCACACACTCTGCTGGCTTCTGAGCTACAACATGGCCTCTTTCCAGCAGAACCACCTTAGACCAGTCAAGTACATGTCTGAGCAGTGTCTAAAGCCCCTCACTGCCTTGGATGGTTTTGATAACTGCTGACTCCAATAGCAATTCTCAGCTCCTTGAAGGTCGTGGTGCTGTGAAATGCTTCATTGGCTCCACATAAACCCCTGTTTGCCATGCTATATCTGCTGGTGAAAAGGAAAACCACCCCAGGCTCAAGGCTTTCGTCGGGTGCTCACAAAATTGGCAACATGGAACGC